GTGGAGTGGGGGGACTCTCAGCCTGTCCTTCGCAGTCCTGGTCTTCCCCCTGCCCTTTGGTCCACCTCCAATCTGTCCACCTCTCTACCACCTTGGGTCCCTTGTGCATCCTGATGTCATTGTCGGCCGTGATGCCACCTTTCCCTGGAGCTCGGTGGGCCGGAGGGGGTCCCCCACGCCCGGCCTGCTGGAAGGCAGGGTCCACCTGGGGAGGTCAGCACTAGCGTGGCCTCTACCTTCCAGATGGAGACACTGAGTCCCAGAGAGGTCAGTGACTTGCCCAGGGTCTCCCTCCTGGAAGAGCTACTCCAGTCCCCCACAGGGCTTCTCCCCAGCTTCATCCACGGAGACCTGAGGGCCCGGGGGAGAGAGGCAGGCCCTCAGGGTCCCAGATGTCCAGCCCAGCCCAGGGCTCCCGGCGGCATGCATGGATAACATTCCCTCTGTGGCTGCCCATGTCCCCTCAGAACCTCTCCACATGCCTCCGCCACCCCTGGAGCCTGGAATTCCATGGGGACGTCTCATCGCTCTGAGTTCTGGTGTCAGGGATAAGATCCCCCATGTCCCCCTGCCCCAGCCCAGCCCAGCCCCTCCCTGGCTGTGAAAAGGTGCAGCCTCCCCCAGGGGTGCCGTGGACACCAGGGACGTGGACTCCGGTGTCAGGCAGGGCCTCTCCCCCGCCGCACTGTCCCTGAGGAGCCCCACCCTCCTGCGGTCAGCGGAGGCTCCCAGGGAGATTCCCCGCCCAGCCGGCTCCAAGCCCCTGGGGTCCGTCCTGGAAGGCCCTTCAAAGGACTCGGCCATTCTTGAGCAAGCGCCAGGAGGGAAGTCAATTTAGCAGCCACAGGGGTGGAAGGAATTTGCCATTTCTCTTAACAGAGACCCCCTCATGATTTACACGGGGGCCACTGTCCGACGGCCCTGGCTGATGGATCCCAAGTGGAAAATGAGATGCCCGGACACAGGCGTCTCGCTGGGCTCGTTATCCTCAATGAGATGCAGCTGGCCCCGGGAGCCAGGGCCAGGGCAGGGCCAGGGCAGGGCCAGCCCCCTCCAGCTCCTGGGCAGCCAAGGCCTGCCACACCCTGCCCTGCTTGCTGCCCCTCACCTCCCCACCAGGCCTGCTCGGGGCCACCAAGAACGTTAGGAGAGCCAGTGTGGCCAGCTCAGGAGCCAGGTCCCCTGACAGGCAGCACAGCCACCAGGTCGCCCGAGAAGGACCCCTCCTGGGAACTGGAGGTCTGAGACCCCAAGGGCCACGGGATTCCGCCTGCTCAAGGGGAAACAGAGGCCTAGACACTCAGAGCAGGTCCCGTGGGGACCCAGGGAGGGTCAGCTAAGTTCCAGCCTCAGCCTCTGGGCCCCAGTGTCCTGGTAGAGGCCCAGAGCCGCCGAGTGGCCTCCAGATGACTCACGCCAGTCAGCTCGGCTCTCTGGGCCTCCTGGTTTTGATCAAGGGTTTTCTAAGAGTCTATTATGTGCCAGGCCCTGTGTGGGGTGCTGGGGGCACCGCAGCGGGCACACTCCACCCTGTCTCCACCCCAGGATCCTATGGCACTGTGGGGAGACACAGCCTGTTTGGGGTATTGGGTATTGACCCAAGGTTGCTTTAAGACTGAGCCACATCCCCAGTCCCTTTTTTTATTTTAAGACAGGGTCTCACTAAGCTTGCTGAGGCTGGCCTTGAACTTCTGATCCTCCTGCCTCAGCCTCCCAAGTGCAGGAGTGGGCCACCAGGCTGGCTGGAGACAGACACTATTTTAACAGCTCCCTGACAAAAGTAGCTGATGCCCTGAAAGCACTCGGAGAGTGAGTATGTACCACTGAGCTGAGGCCAGAGTGGACTAGGGGGCAGCTGGTGCTGGGCAGGGCAGGGATCCAGACATAGGGAAGAGCATGAGCAAAGGCCCTGGGGCAGGAAGAAATGGGACTTTCGGGCAAGCAAGTGAAACTCTGCAGTGGGAGTCCAGAGCCCAGGGGACTGTGAGTTTGGGTCAAGGAGGCCAGCCAGGGGCCCTCATACCTTTAGAAAGGTGATTCCAGTTCTGACTCAGGACAGACGCTGTGTCCACTAACACACACCCCAGGACATTGTCTCCAACCTCCTCCTCATCCCCCGTCCTGGCCTCTCTCCGTTGGGATTGCAGTCGTCTGTCTGTTTGTCTCAGGAGTCCCCGCCCAACCCCAGCCCTAGGAGGCTAGGCCCCTGCAGTGCCCCAGAAGCCCAGCCTAGATCAGGACCCAGGGGACCCATCGGGGCCAGGCAAAGCCAGCCCAGGCATTTCCGGGGACACGGATGGAGTCGTGGCTGCAGAAGGTCACTGGTGAGGACCCGGGTCAGGGGCAGCCACGGCCACCAGGGAACCCCCTCTTGGGAAGGAGGCCATCCGCAGGCAGCTCGATGCGTCTCCAGCAGCCCCACACCTGGCCTGGGCCACTCAGAGTCCTGGGGCCCACCCTGCCCTGCAGCCTGCACAGAGGCCTTGAGGACAGGAGGTGGCAGTGGTGTCCTGAATCAACTCTGGGCCGGGGACAGGTGAAGTGAGTGGACGGTGGAAGGCTGGAGTCTCCCGGAGCCTTCTGAAGTCCCTCTGGCTCCCCAGCTGCCGTGGCCCAGGCGTACGGGCTCTCCGGATTGGCAGGCCTCGGGGCTGTTGGGAGTTGAGCTTCCGGCAGGCGCTGGTGACCCAGGTGACCCCTCCCTCCAGCCTTGGCTCAGGTGGTTCCGTGGGCCCCCAACAGGTCTGGCAGCTTGTCCGTGGCAGAGACCGGGCTGGGCCACAGTTTCCAGGAAGGCCAAGTCTCAGAGAGCTCGGGAGGAGGGGGATGGAGCCATGTCCCTGTGACCCAGGGGCTGGGGAGCAAGGTGCCTGCTCTCTCTGTGACGTGTGGCTCCTGGTGCGTCCTGCGTGGAGAGCCAGCGCGGGCCCCACGCCCAGCTCCACCACGGACCCTGGGCAAGACCCGGGCCTCAGTTTCCTCCTCGAGCTCCCACAGAGGAGATAAGAACAGCCCACGCAGGCCGAGAACCAGGACAGCCCTGCCAAGGCCACGGGCCTGTGTGCCCCCGCTCAGCCATCTTGTTGTGGTTGTTTTTTGTACCAGGGACTGAACCCCAGGGCGCTCAGCCACGGAGCCCCAGCCCCAGCCCCTTTCATATTTTATTTAGAGACAGGGTCTCGCTGAGCTGCTTAGGGCCTCGCTAAGATGCTGAGGCTGAACTTGAACTCACCATCCTCCTGCCTCAGCCTCCCGAGCTGCTGGGATTACAGGTGTGCTCCACTGTGCCTGGCTCCCCTCTCATCCTGACTGTGCCCATCCTCTGGTCTCCCAGCCGGGACAGCATAGGTGCGCCCAGGCCCTGACTCTGCTGCGGGTTCAGAGCTGTAGACGTGACATTCGTCACCTCCTGGGTTTCCCAGCTGCCTGCTGAGTGGGTCGCCAACCCCGTTCAACCTCTCTCCCCACAGCCAGTTCTCCTCCGGGCTCGCTCTGGGCACGGTGACTCCTCCTGCACCCCTCAATCCCAGGGATCCTCCACCCTCCTCAGAAAAGGCCCTCGAGCGTTCTGGGACCTGCACACGTGTAGTAAGGCACCCGCCGCACACCCCTCTTCAGGTTCAGCCTGATGGTCTTTCCCATAGGTTCACATCCGGGTTTCCAGCCACTAGGGTGCCAGAAGAATGGGAACAACTGCTCGTGGGCTTCTTGGTGGGGTGACGGAATGCTGTGGATATGGACACCCTCGTGATTATACCCGAAGCCACTCTAGAACGGTCGGTGTGATGGTGTGTAAGCTGTATCTCAATAAACAGACTTGGCTTTAGATACAGAAGACTTCCTTCTCCCTGCAAGATGACACAAACGGGTATCACCAAGTCACTGTGTGTCTCTGAAGCTGCCTTGTCTTGCTGGGCTCGGTTCCTGTGCCCAGAAGTGCTGTGGCCTTTGCATCAGGGCTGCCCTGAGGGGTGCTTGTGTGGTTTCCCCTTGGGGTCTATTGTAACTCTGCAAGTCCCCACCATGTCCTCTGATGGACATGTGATAGGTGTCACAAACCCAGGAGTGGGAGAGCTGGGTTGGGATCTGCACACCTTTAACACAAATAGACACTGACAGTGTCCCCGAGTGGCTGACTTGTTAGTCACCTTCCTCGCCAACACTTGAGATTGCCCATCTCTTTATTTTAGCCACTGAGCTGGACCCGGACCGTGTTGCAGTTTTGGGTTGTTGTTTTTGGTACCGGGGATTGAACCCAGGGGTGCTTAACCACTGAGCCACAACCCCAAACCCACCCTTTTCTTTGTATTTTATTTAGAGACAGGGTCTCACTGAGTTGCTTAGGGCCTCTCTGAGTTAATGAGGCTGGCCTTGAATTGGAGATCCTCCTGCCTCGGCCTCCCGAGCTGCTGGAGTTACAGGTTGTGCCACGGCACTTGGCCTTATTCCGTGATCTTTGTATCCTGTGTCTGAGTGTCCTGTTCAAGAAGTCTTCTCCAGCCCTCTCAACACCCCTGGGCTCTCCCTGCCTCCTCTCCCACTCTGCCATGCCCAGCTCCTACCTGCCCCTTCCCCTCCCCATGGTTTTTCTGTCCCCCTTTCTATCCCCTGTAACCATCTCCCTCACCGCAGTCAGGGTGATCCTCCTGCCCGCGGATACGTCTGGCTCCCCTTCACGACCCGGGGACTGGCAGAGGCCCTGCCGTGCACTAGGTGCTCAGTTAGAGCCACACAGACAAAGGCCCTGTCCCGGGGCCCAGCTGGGGAGCATTCGAGCTGTCAGTCAGCGCTAAACCAGCCACGAGGGACAGCCCAGCAAAGCCAGGGACCAAAGAGTTCGCAAAAACCAACCCGATGGGAAAGTTCTCCCCAGTGACCACCTGTCACACAGGCTCAGGCCTCAGTGGCATTTATTCCTGCCTGGGCGGGACGGTGGGACAGGGGGGCCTTCCCCGGGAACGCTCCCCCGTCTTTGCCAGCTCAGCGGGGGACCCCGTCCGCTAGTCCTTCTCCTCGCCGTGCGTGATGACGTAGCACAGGTTCCTGTAGTCCAGGTTGCCGCACACGTCGGGCGGGAAAGCCGCGAACATCTGCTTGACCTGGGGAGGCAGCCGGGGCTCAGCCTGGAGCAGCGCTGCCCCGAGGCCAGGGGACCCGCGTGCCCCAAAGCCCACACCTACCTCCTCCTCGCTGAACCGGTCGGCCTGGGTCATGAGCTTCTCTTTGATGCTGCTCATGGAGAGACGCCCATCATGTCCAGGGGAAGGGCTGCCCCAGGTGGGCATGCAGATCCCAGGGGTGATGGGGACCGGGGAGTCCTGACCCCGGAGGACACCAATCTGGGGCTGGCGCTCCCAGCCCTCAGACAGCTCTCTGAGCACTCCCCCCTCCTCTGTCACTCAGGCTCTCCCTGAGAGCCCAGCAGCAGGTGGGGACTAGATGGATGACCTTGAGACCCCATCATGACCTTGGAGCCACTCTGATTCCCAGGGTGTGTTGATAACCTACTAATGTCATTGAAGCGGGGCACGGCGGTTCACGCCTGTCATCCCAGCAGCTGGGGAGGCTGAGGCAGGAGGATTGCGAGTTCGAAGCCAGCCTCAGCAAAAGTGAGGCCCTAAGCAACTGAGCGAGACCCTGTCTCTAAATAAAATATTTAAAAAGGTCTGGGGATGGGGCTCAGGGGTTCAGTGCCCCTGGGTTCAATCCTTGGTACCAAAAAGAAGGTCATTGAGGGAAGATGCCCAGGACCTGGGCATCTGTAGACTTCTGTGTCTAGATGGTGACGTTTGCTGACATCTGCGTAGCACTTCACAGACACTCAGATGTTGTCCTAGAGCACAGGACAGCCTGCCCACGCCCGGCCCCTCTGGGACCTGGGAAACGGGGACTGGATCCCCCTTTCACTGGGGGGGGGCGCTGAGGCTGGGGGGCTATGGCTTGCCCTACATCCCACAGAGAGACAGTGGGGGGCATCCCTCTGGGCGTCAGGAGAGCAGCTTCTGGGGGCAGAGGAGCGGCCCGCGTTGGGACCTGGAGCCTGTACACAAAGGGACGGATCCCCTGGCACTGAGGGACCTTGCCAGGATGGGGGACTGGCTGGTGGACGGACAGGATGATCAGAGGGCTGAGCCAGGCCGCGTGCTCCCAGAGTGTCCCCTGGTGCCTGCAAGGCAGGCCCCGCTCGGTGCCGACGCACATTTTCCATTATTTATGTTTCTGGGACAGTCACAGTTTCCAACTCCCTGAGCTGGGGACTCGTCACAGACGCTGTTTCAACCAGAGCCTCCTCTGTGGCCTGCTGGCCAGCAGCCACCTCCTCCAGGTCCCGTGGCCTGGGGAGGCACCTTCCATTCCCAAACTGGGTCCCTGATGGGTTCCTCCCAGCCCTGTCCTCAGTGGGTGGGAGAGAGAAGGGGGCTGGGCCAGGCCAGGCTGGGTGGGGGCCCCAGGTGCCTCCCCTGGCCCCAAGATGGAAGTGGGAGCCTCAGGCCCTCGGAGGGAATGGAAAATGGGGGACACGGACGCCCTCGACCGTCCCGCGGTACCCGGGAGTCTGACTCACGCTCTTGGGTGAAATCCTGTGAGATGGAACCAACCGGCCTCCCCTCCACCCCAGGGCGAGACTCCGAGTGAGGACTCCGTAAAACCACCCCCAACCAGAGGCACATGGTCATGGTCAGGTGGCCTGAGCCTGTGGGGGCCCGGGGGGGGGGGAGGAATCTCACCTGCCCAGGGCCACCAACCCAGGCCCAGCCAGGCTCAGAAGGGACCTCGTGGGCACAGATCAGAGTTGACACAGCCCCAGGGCCTGGGTAGGCTGCCACTTCCCCGCCTGGGGCTCTGCCCCCTGCCCCCACAGGGAGGGGCTCTCAGGACTCCCATGCTCCCAGAGCAGACCGGGGTCCCCGGCTGGGGAGTGAGCCCCCACCCAGGCGCTGCACCCCCCACCCCATGCTCAGTATCCACCATCCCAACCAGGCCACCTGGAGTCTCCTTCAAGGACCCCTCTGCCTCCTTCCCCACCACTGGGAAGACCCCCAAGTGACCCCTCACAACTCCTTTCCAATCCCACAAGCCTGCAGAGGGGGACGCTGGGGCCCAGAGAGGGGAAGGGGCCCAGGAGGGGCTGGACTGGGCAGTGGTCTCCTGACAGGGTGCTGCCCCAGCTGGGCTGGACTCTGGGTGGGAAAGGGAAGGGGCTGCCTCCCCCCAGGACCCACCCCAGCGCACTCACAGGTCAGCCTTGACGAATCCCTTCCCTTCAGTGTCGAACACCTTGAAGGCGTGGAGAATGGTCTCCTCTGGGTCCGTGCCTAGCAGCAGCACACGGGGCAGGGAAAGCCGTAAGGTGGAGAGACGGGTGCCAGGTGGGCAGGGGTGGGAGGTGGGGGCCCCTCCTATGGCTCCCAACTTCTGCTCCACGGGGAGGGCCAAGCCACTCGAAGCAAGAGCAGGGAAGTGAGAGGGATAATAGACAGCAGCACTGTGGGTGGGTGAGGTCATGCACAACCTGCACAAGTGTACCTGGATACCCTGGGTATTAGCTATGTGCTTAACTCTCCTGGCTCTATTTTATAGATGAAGAAACTGAGGCTCAGAGAAGTTACGTGACTTGCCCAATATCTTCAAACTGCTCTTGCATGATCACTGAGATCTGAATGGTGGCAGCTCTGGGGCTCACGTATTACCCAAGCTGTGCCCAGAGGCTATGGAGGAAGAAGAGCTCTGTACTTGGGGCTTGGACAGTGGCCTTGGAGGGTCTGCAGGGTTGACCCACCCAGGCGTGGTGGCAGTGTGGCCAGAGCAGTTTTGGTTTTATCACTGGCGTGGCTTTGGGGAAAGCTGTCGTTAGAAGATATATTCTGGTACCCACCACGGGCTTCAGTGGCCCTCAGAGGAAACTGAGGTCCAGAGAGAGTCCACCGCCTGCCTGAGGCTCCCTAAGAGAAGGCGGGTGTGACATACCCTGGGGACCTCTGGAGTGCCCTCCTCCTCCCGCCACCTGCCTCCCCCAGCAGACCGGGGCAGACTCTGTCTCCCCTGCAGGCTGGACGCTCATCCAGGTCAAGGTGAGGCTGGTCCCAGGGACAGAGCCTGGCATGAGCTGGCCTGCTGGCCTGGAGTGCCCAGAGGAGGTCCTGCTGGAGCAGGGCTGGGGCCCTCAGGTTGGTCAGGCAGCAGGACAGCGGTGGCCAACCTGGTGGGGGTGCAGAGGTCAAAGGCCGGGGCTGGGGGCTGGGGTGGCCTCTGCTGGGAGGTCTTGGTCTCCCAGATCAGTCAGCTGAAAGCGGTCTCTAAAGAGGTCTGGGCTGGGCGGGTCTGTGGCCGGCCCCGGCCTCCTCCTGAGTGAGGATGGTAAGCTGGACTCCGTTAGTCCAGGCCCAGCTGCTGGCCTCCAGTTCACCCTGGCCTCCTCCCTAGAGCGGGCCTCTGCTCTGGGGCCTACAAACTCATAAAACTGGCTGCGGAGGGACTGCTTCTCATCCTTGCTGATGGGGACCTCGTGACAAAGTCTCCTGTCCCAATTAGTGGGAAAGGGGTGGCTACCCGCCCCCCGCCCTTCAGGCTGCTGGCCTCTCACGCGGGCCTGGCCAAGTCTGCATGACAGGACAGTGTCCCTGCACAGATGAGGAGAAGCTGCAGCCCTGCCGCCCCACCAGGCCTGGTCACATGGCCAGCCCGGCCCCAGCCCGGCCGGAGCCGCAGTCTCGGTCTCTCCATCTGCAGGACAGGCCGGCCATCGGGGCGGAGAGCGCCTCTCATCCCCCTGGTGCCCGGAGGGGCTCAGGGAACCGCACCTGACGCAGGCCCCACGCCCAGGCAGGCTGTACCCTGCCTCGCCTACTGTCCAGGCCCCTGAGCCGTCCACCCTGGTCACCCAAGGCCACTTGGCTCGGCTTCCCACCAGGCATTAATAAGTATCTCGGTCACATTCCTTGGGATCAAAGATGGAGGCCGCCTCCCTGCTCAGGGTAGAGCCAGCAGCTGGGTCACCCGTGTGTCCCCCAGCTTGGTCCCCTTGGGCTTCTGCGCTCTTGCAGCAACAGCACCCACCTCCAGGGCAGCCGGAGCCTCAACTAGGCCGGCCACAGACCCTCATGCTTGGGGATGTCATTTCAGGGGCCCCTGGGGCCCTGAGAGAAAAAGGCTAGGGACAGCCACCGGCCCCCACAAGCTGGTTCCGTGTCTCAGGGGAGCCCCCATCAGAGCCAGGGTCCCAGGTGGGTCCCCCTCCTGGCCACTTTCTTGCTGAGGCTCCTGGTCAGGTGTCACAACCTCTCTGAGCCTCCTCTGACTCATCATTTGTGGAAAGAGTCCCCTGATCCTTTCCCGGGGGGCTGCAGTGGCTTCAGAACAAGCCCAGGTGAGTAGCCAGACCTGGAGCAGGTGGCGGTCATTTTTGGAAACCCGTTCCGGACAAGGTCTCTCTGCCTGGGCACCAGCCCCATCAGCTGGGGACAGTGGGGCAGAGCAGGCAGGTGGTGGGAGAAGCTGGGAGTGGCGATGGGGCTGTCCTCATGGTGGGCCAAGGCCACGCGAGGCAGGGCTGTGACAGTGACCTCCACCGTGCAGGCCAGAGGGGACCTGAGGCAGGGTGCGTGCACCAGGGGCTGGTGCTTGGGGCCATTTGTTCCCAGCCGTGGTGACCAGGTGTCAGGGCCACCAGCGGCTGGCTAACCCGCCCTTCCCTTGGCCCCGGCTCACCTTTGAGTTTCTCCCCAAACATGGTGAGGAAGACGGTGAAGTTGATGGGCCCCGGGGCCTCCTTCACCATGGCCTCCAGCTCCTCGTTCTTGACGTTGATGCGGCCTGGGGGGGGGGGCAAAGAGGAGTCAGGGTGCAGGGCGGGGCCCTGGGGGCCTGCACGCAGCCAGCCAGGGAGGGTCCCTCAGACGTCACAGCTCTGCCGTCCCTAAAGCCCGACCTGCTGCGGGGACGTTCAGCCCTCCGTCTCCTGGGCCTCCATTCAGATAAGGAACGGACCTCGGGAGCTGCAGGGGGCCCTGGCCTCTTGGCTCAGGTGGACACTCAGGTGGCCTAGGCTCAAGGCACATCCAGAGTGGCCTGGCTGTGTCCCCTAACCCCCGCCCCCATCAGTGCCTAACCCCTCCCTGGCAGTTGCCCCCACTTCTGGACCCCCACTGGTTGTCTGGACCCCTTGTGTCCCCGTCCTTCACACAGGCTGTTCCACCCTGGTAGTGCCCTTCCCGGCCCCGGGTCCCCCGTGCTCCCCAGTCATCCCCGACCTTCCCAGCAGCACCCCAACCCCAGCTCCCCCTCGCCACACCAGGTTGCCTGGTGGCCCAGGCTCGGCTCCACCCCAGGCCAGGCGCCCGGCCGCGGAGTACCCACCCAGGGCCGCGAACGTGTCCCTCAGGTCCTCCTTGTCGATGAAGCCGTCCCGGTTCTGGTCCATGATGGTGAAGGCCTGGCAGAGACCAGCACTGAGCCACCCTCAGCCCGTCCAGCCGGGCCCCGTCACCGCTCCTGTGGCCGGGAACCTCGGCCAGGGCTCCCGGGTCCCCAGCTGCCCGGTCTGGCTGCCCAGAGTCTGAGGGCTGTGGTCATCCTCTGGAGCACCCAGTGGCCCGTGCTTGTCCCCCCTCTCAGGCTCTCCGCCGCCCCCATTTACAGAGAGGGAAGCCCGGCTCAGGAGAAAGGCCTGGCCGAGTCACACAGCCAGCGCAGCTGAGGTTCAGGGAGGGCAGCGTCACCCGGCTCCAGCTCTGGGGCACATCAGGGTGGCCCAGGAGAATGAGGACACACTCGGGCAGCCCCCGGCCACCCCGGACCCTGTGCCCTTCCGGCCTCGTCCCCTGGGGCAGCCGACCAACCTCCTTGAACTCCTGGATCTGGGACTGGTCGAACATGGAGAAGACGTTGGAGCTGGCCCCGCCGTCCACCCTCTTCCGGGCCCTCCTGGGTGCCTGTCAGGAACAGGTGAGGCCTTGCAGCTGCCCCTTCCTCGGGAGGTCAGCCCAGCCCAGCCTCATCTCCCCCGCACCGAGTCCTGGAGGACACTCCCGCCTCCTGGTGCCCGCAGCACACAGACCTGGCTCCCGGGAAGCCGAGGGTTGGCCAGTCCAGCAGGAGGCCTGCGGAGCCCTCCCCACCACCTCCCGCAGGGCCAGGCACCTGCCTCCTACCTGCCCCCACCCCACCTGGCTACCCCAGTGGCACAGGGCACTTCTGTCTGCACCGTGTCGGGGACCCTGGAATCTGGCCTTGTCCAGCTGCTAAAAGCTTCCCAAGTGCTCTCAGGGTTTGTCCCTTGCCACTTTCCAAAGAGTCCTCTCCCTCCCACCTGGGTCCCCCACTTCCCCAAGCCCCCTCTGAACTGCCCTGCCCCCTCCCCTGTGTCCCGGATGCCTTCCCAGCCTCCCAGGAAGATGCCTCCTCCAGGAAGCACTCCTGCCCCCACAAGGTCAGACGAGGTCAGACCAACAGGCCCTGCTCTGTTCTGGGCCTGACGCCCTCCAGAGCACACACCACCCTGTCCTGTCATTTCCCTCCCCGTGGCTGTCTGCCCACCTAAGACCTCAGGGGTGACACCCATTCTGTCCCATCGGTGGTCTCTCGGGGCCCACCCCAGATGTGGCTCAGAGCGAGATCAGTCCATGTTTGGTCATAGCCTCCGTAAGTCAGGTCCCACCTAGGCACACGGGGGACCGCAGGCCACCCATGTGGACGCAGCCCTGGGTCTCTGGCTGGCCTTCCTGCCTCCAAGGGCTTCTTTCAGATGATCCTGGTACCTGAGAGCCCACCACTCGGCATTTGTGAAAGCTATGTCCCCAGGATGCCCTAGGGGACTTCCCAGGGCCCGTCCCCAAGTTGGTCCTTGAAAGAGCCTGTCCTTGGCCTCATGGAGGGAGAGGTGGAGGTCTGGGCTCCCCCCAGCTCAGCCTGCACCACCTGGCTCCCGGGCCTGTCCAGCGCCCCCCCGCGGGCTTCCCTGCCCCCTGCCCCCACCCAGTGCCTGTGTGGTCTCCCCAGCCCCCACGGCGCCCTCGCCCCCTCTTCCCTCTGGCTCCTGGGCCCAGGCAGGAGCAGCAGCACCCGGCTGACTTATAATTAGCTTTTACTGGGTGCTTTGTCTCCACTAATCCTCTGAAAGGGGGCTGGCAGGGTGGCTGGGACGTCAGGATGCTGTAAAACCTCTGTAATATTATAAATCCCTTCAGACATCGTAAAGAAAAAAGCTCCCCACAGAGCCCGTCTCCCATAATTACACAGACATTTCCCTCCGATTAATAAAAAAGGATCACTTCCGTCTGCAGGGTACTCTGCCCTCTCTCTCTCTCAGACCTGCTGTCCGTCTCGGTGTACCACCCCCCACCCCCGTCCAGCCTTGCACACGAGGTCCTAAGGTGGCCCAGAGCTCAGCAAGGGAGGAAGGGATCTTGTCCAGCTACAGAGGGGGGACATGAGGCCAGGGCCCTCAACAGCCCAGCCGTCTCGTCACTTCCCCTTTATTATGGGTCCCTGAAAGTAAGAGTCCCCTGAGAGGGACACCTGGGGAAGAAGTGGGTCACTCCAGCCCGGGTTTTAATTCAGGCCTCGCTGCTCACAGGCTCTGTGATGTTCAGAAACACACTACCCTCTCTGAGCCTTGGTTTTCCCCATGGATAAAGCCAACAGAATGCCGGCCTCGGGCACCAGAGCATTTACCTGACCCTCTGCTGACCTGCTGACCCCCAGGCAAGCCCTGTGCCTGATCTCCCAGGCCCAGAGCCAGGCCCTGGACTTGGCCCCAGAGCGTCCAGTGCAGCTGGAGACGGGTGATCAACAGAGGGTGGCCGGGGGAGCAGGGTGCTGAGCCCGAGGTCTCAGGCTGTGAGGGGCTAACAAGGCCGGTGAGAGCCAGGCTCACAAGAGCAAGACTGAGGGCCCGCAGCGCGCAGCTGCAGGGGAGCCCCTGGGGCCTGAAGGGCAAAGCCAAGGTGAGCCAGGGGACCTGGCACTCTGGCAGCCACACGGTCTGCAATACCCACCCCAGACCCCAACAGGAGCTGTGTCCCCGCAGCAGGGGCAGAGTGGTGGCCTCCACTGGCAGCCCCCAGTCCCCGCTCTGCCCCGCCCCCCCCTGCTTTCACCTCTGCAGCCCCCACAGCACCCAGGAAAGCAGAGACCCAAACCAGAACCCACGTGACCGACTGCCACCCCTTGAGACATTGAGGTCAGACCAGGCCCATCAGGTCAAGGTCAAAGATATCAGTGAAAGGAATGAGGTCAAGGTCAGGGTGAGTCCCAGCTAAAGGTAAAGGTTAGAAATGCAAAGTCAAGGTCAAGGAGATGGAGTTGAGGAAGGAAGTCAGAATTAAGGATGGGCTCGGGCATCCTAAAGGTCAGCCCTAAAGGCCTGAGCTGAGCTCCCTGGGTAGAGCCGGACGCAGGGACGTGGCCCAGGGGGAGGCGAAGCCGCCTGTCCTACCATGGTCTGGAGTCTCCTTGTGGCTGCACCAGGCTGAGGGCAGCCGGGGGCTGGCTCTTTAAATAGTGCTCCTCCCGGCAGCCGGCACCCAGCCAGGTCCAGACCTCAGTTTGGAAGGTGACCAGGGACAGGATGGGAGCCTCCCTGCCAAGCATCTCCCCTGGGCCACGGGGAGTCAGCTAAGCTGGGGATCCAGAGCCCGCCTAAGCCGGGGATCTCCGCCAGCCTGGGGCCAAGTGTTTCCTCCGGTGCCAAGGGACCAACATTCAGGAAGGGGCCCAGGGACAAGGACATGCAGAGAGTTGAGACCTGCGACCAGCTGGGAAGGCCTGGCCCAGGGCCCTGGAAGGTCAGGGAGAGGTCCCCACGGCAGGAGGGAACCATGGGGGACACCTCTCTCCAGCCCCGTCCTCTTGTAGAGATGGGGGAGAGTGTGACATCCTCTGGCCCACAGGGACCCCCCAACCAGTATGACAACAGCGGTCCTTCAGTGTCCTCTGGGGAGGGGTTCCAGGCACCCCCACAGGTACCAAAACCTGCACATGGTCAAGTTCCTTGGGTAAGTGGCTTAGGTTTTGCATGGAGCCTCGGCCCGTCCTCCAGAGGACTTCAAATTACCCTCCAGATGGTTCATGCTCCCTGATGCGATCTAAGTGCCATGTAAATCGTTGGTGGACCGTATTGTCTCGGGGACAATGACAGGGACAGGTCTGCACATGTCCGTATAGTGCAGACGGCCTAACACTTTCCATCTGCAGTTGGCAGAGCCCTCAAGTATGGAACCCATGGCTACAGAGGTCCCTTGTGTTGCTCTGTGGCCTGCATTGGCCTTGGTCCCTGTCCCCAACCCCGGGGACCCCCAAGATTTGTAAACGCACAAGCTGTTGAGGAACCAAATAGAGGAAGAAAACCAGAGGTGTCCAGCGAGGGAGGATTGGAGACCCAGACCCTGCTCCACCCTGGCCTCGAGCACACAGAGCCACCCCTGGAGGTGGCCCTGTCCCAGAATTGTCAGCTGACATGCCCAACAGAGCCCTCGCCTGCCCCCACAGGCTCCTCTTGTGTCCAGTGCAGCCCTGGTGGCCCCCACTTGGCCTTGAAGGTGGCCCTGTCCATCAAGCCAAGTTGCCCACTGCGTGGGGACATCACAGCTGATGGGCTGCCAGGGCCGGCAGGGCTGTGATCCGGCCATGAGGCCACTGGTCCCTGGGAGCTGGAGAGCTTAACTGTCCCCAGAGCTGGCCTCAGGCCTCCAGGCCCCGGTACGGCTGATCCCCTGCCTCAGGAAGAGGGAATGGGATACTCATCCAGAGAGGAGTGGCCCTGGCTCTGGGGCTCATGTTCTCCATCCTCCTCACGCTCAGCTGACCCACTGTCCAGGTGGGGACACCGCAGCACACAGGGCTTCAGACACTTCCCTGAGGCTGTAAGGGTCGGTGCCAGTATGAGAGGACTCTTTCTAGTGGCCCCAGAAAGAAGGTTCCAGAAGGTTCTGCCCATCTAAACGCTGCACTTCCCCTGTCCCTCTCCCAGTCATCGCTGACTCTGTCCAGCCCCTCTGGCCTCCCTCCACCCTGCCATGTGGTCCCCAGACAGGTTCCTCTCCTGGCATCCCCCCAAGGGACTGGCCACATGCCCCATGGTGTCCAGGTCATCTGGCTCAGCGGGCAGGAGCCCAGGATTCGAGGCCCCGCCCCCTCAGCCTGTGTGACAGTGACAGGTGCCTCCTGCGGGAAGGCAGGTGGCTGCCATCTGTGCCAGCCACAGGGTGCTGTCTTTCCTTGCCTGGTCCATGCACCTGGCCCGCTCTGTGCTCACTGAGGCGGAGACGGTGCCATTGGGGCTCTAACTCCTGACGGACCTGCTTCCTGCTCTGGCCTCCTGCTGGCCTCTGGCCTCCTGCTGGCCTCTGGCCTCCACACCCAAAGCCTAAGCTCTGGCCTTTGGGTATCACTCCCAGGACCACAGAGGGACTCGGGAATGTCAGGGACAGTCCTGAGCAGGCAGAGAGCCCTCAGCTCGCCCAGCAGAGGGGACACGGAGTTGAGGATCAGTCAAGTTCGCAGGAGAGGGTCAGAAAGCTGGAGAGCAGACAGAGGCTCGAGAAACGTTCGCCCTGGGCTGGGGCTGTGCAGAGGCCTTGGGAAGGAGACGCTGCCGGTCTGCCCTCCCCAGGGACCCTTGTACACAGAGACATGGACTCGGTGTCCCCACCTGAGAAATGAGGCCAGTTACCCAGTCCCTCAAAGCTGCCACTGGGCACCCTGGCTATGGGATGCCTGGGAAGGAAGTGGACTATAGTCACCCACCAGGGTTGGGAGGGCAGAGACCCTACAGAGGGGGTCCCTTAACACCTGGGTGGCTCCAAGCCGAAGCTCCCTCATGGGCCAAATGCAAGAGGCAGGGGCCACAGTGGGGCCACATTGACTCAGCTGATCACTGATGGACCATGGT